TAAAGTACAGCCCTTTAGAGGTTGTTTTATGTTTTTTTCACCCAAGGATATGTTTTTCATTGATTCTAGAGAGAGAAAGGAAGGGAGGAGAGAGAGAGAAACATTGATTGGTTACCTTCCATATGCACCCAGACTGGGGATCAAACCTGCAACCTGGGTATGTGCCCTGACCGAGAATCTAACCTAATCTCCAGTGCACAGGATGATGCTTTAACCAACTGAGCCACATTGGCCAGGGCTAGAGGGTATATATTTAACTTCCATATATCTGATCCTTGTTAGTAGAAGCACAAGTGGGTTATATTTTCTGTTTTATTTCATTTGATAATTTTTCTTTTAGTCATTTTTTAAATTTATCTCCTGAAATTCTTCATTTGCATTCTTTGTTCAACGCAGTATAACCCTCCCTACGTGGGTATTTTCTCCACCGAACAGTCACGTGTGTAGGGTGTGACAATGTGTGCCACTCCTCCAGTTTCCTGCTGGTCCTCTAGATTCTACTTGAGGATGAAGTTTTACCTTGAATGTCAGACTGCTTAGCTCTTGTCAGTCCTGTCTCCCCATATTCCCACTTGCTGTCTAGCCTCTGGTTCGAATGGCCACACCACCCAGCATCATGATTCCATCGGTCCTGAGAGTGTCATTTGCTGCATCTCATCCACCAGATTGGAACTTCATGGAAATTAACACTAGCCCAAGTGAAGCGGAGCAGACCTAACTTTCCTGGACAGTTCATCTTCAATCTTCACTCCACCCCCAATTCTGTCACTATTCTTGATCAGTCCCTATATTAATTTTTCTTCTTCACTGGATAGTGAGCTCTTGGTTCAACTTGTAGTCAAGCCTACATAAATTTGCGATCATTGAATTGCCTAAAGTTATGTACACAGTTAGCTGGCCCTAAGCACTTTTCTTATCCAATATTTTAGAAATGCAATCTAATGTTCCTATGATTTCTAGGTATAAGTCATATACATTTCTCTAGACTTTTAACTGATTTACTGAAACGGTCAAAGGTGTTTTATTTTCAAATTGTATATCTTTTTAAGCAATGATTGTGTGTTTTTTCTTTTACCAGTAAGTTAGCCTATATTTTGACACTTTATTAAAAAACAAAAAAATTAATAAGGCAAAAGCAGCAGATTATAAAATCTAGGCTCTTTGTACTTCATAGCCCTAACCTTTAAGACCCATCTTAATTTCTGCCCAAATATTAATATTCAATCATCAACTTCCTTAGGTTCTTCTTTAGTGTTTTAACAACATCAGCCTGATTTCAGGAATTTGAATATAGGTCCCTCAAGAGCTAGGATGTAGCCTCCTCGTTTTTGTTGTTGACCTTCACAGAACCCAAATCGGTGTCAGACATATGGTAGTGGTTTAAAAAACACTATTGAATTAATCACAAGCTGGCACAAGAGGCAGCATTTCTCAACCAGGAGCACATTAACGACAAAGCCCCAAACCTCACCATGAACAGCTACAACAGCAGCACCAGCAGAAGCAGCAAGCGTTGGATCCTCGGTTCCCCACTCCGTGCTGGCCCGGGAGGGAGTCTGATGTCTCCTGGGCTGCAGACATCTGTCGCTTCTGCATCTCCCTCCGTTCTGAGCCCATCAGCTGCAACAATGAAAGCAAGATTGGTTTGGGTGGGCAGACTGACCACAACTTAAGCTTGGTGATGCAGTTGTTTGGATCATTGAGAAAATGCAATGTGACTATATCCAGGTCATTTCCACTAAATCTGGTAAAATATGGTGCTTAGAATTAATTTACCAAAGGTTCATTTAATGTCTAGCATCTGCCATGCACTGTAATATATTTTAGAAATAAAATCATGGAGGGTCCCTGCACCAAGGCACCCACAGTTGAGTAAAGGAGACACTGGCATCACAGACATTGAAGACATGCAGTAAAGTGACAATAGGGTCATTTCCCAGCTCCAGAATTCCCTTTGGGTTGAACCGATGGGGAGCAGTTGAATTACAGTTGCCCATGAGGCCATAGCATGGATATGGGAAGAAGCCACACCCAAAATGTCAGGCACAGTAACACAGCATGCAGAGGAACCCTTAGGAGAGGAGCACGGCGGGGGTGGCTGCACTTAGTTATAAAATAAATAAAATAAGTCACAGAGATGTAAAGTACAGCCCAGGGAATATAATCAATAATCCTATATAATAAAAGGCTAATATGCAAATCGACCGAACGGCAGAACAACTGGTCACTATGATGCGCATTGACCAGGGCAGTGGCAGGAGCCTCTTCCACCTCCACGGCAGCGCTAAGGATAATTTACTTATATCCACCCAAGGGCTCCCAGACTGCGAGAGGGTGCAGACCAGGCTGAGGGACCCCCTGGAGTGCAAGAATTTCATGCACCAGGCTTCTAGTATTGTAATAACTTTGTGGGTTTTAAAAAATATGTTTTTATTGATTTCAGAGAGGAAGGGAGAGTGAGAGAGAGATAGAATCATCAACGATGAAGAGAGAATCATTGATTGGCTGTCTCCTGCATGCCCGATGAAGAGAGAATCATTGATTGGCTGCCTTCTGCATGCCCCCTACTGGGGATCGAGCCCACAACCCAGGCATGTGCTATGACGGGGAATCAAATCATGACCTCCTGATTCATAGGTGGACACTCAACCACTGAGCCATGCTAGTGGGGTTATTGTAATAACTTTGTATGGTGGTGACAGAAGGTTACTAGATAACGTGATGATGACTTTGTATGCTATATAAACATCAAATTACTATGTTGTATACCTGAAACTAATATAATATTGTATGTCAACTATAATAACTATTTAAATTAACATGGTGGAGGATGGAAGTCCTGGGGAAGCCGCCTGGTCCTGAGGCCCACTGATATATTCCAATCTTCACTAGCTGTGAAACCTTGAAGAAGTTACCCAATTGAACTGTGACCTCCTGGTTCATAGGTTAACGCTCAAACACTGAGCCACGCTGGCCGAACTGGGTTTGTTTTTCTAGTCCAGCATTGGGTTTATTTCTTCCTCGTATTACCTATTCTAATATGCTATTGGATTTTGTTTTAATTATTATAGTTTGATTATATATTTTTACATTAGGTAAGTAGAGTTCCTTTCGTGAATTAGAAAAAAAATTGGTTTTGACTGTCCTTGTCTAGTTTTTCTTCCATTTGAATTTTGGAATCAGTTTGTCAAGGTCCAAAAAATACTACGTTGGGATTTTGATTAGGACACATTGAATTTATAGATTTAGTCCAAAAAATACGTTGGGATTTTGATTAGGACACATTGAATTTATAGATTTATGTATGACAAATGTCATCTGTTTTAGTACCTGCCAAAAAATCAGTGACTCCACTGGATTAGCTCTTTTAATTATACTGAGATGTAAGTTCCAGGACAGCAAGAGGGCCTGTCAGAGTGTTTACTGTCCCTTCACCCACAGCCAGAACAACGCTCACAACACCTGTCCACAACACCTGTCCAAAGAGCCCAGCCTCTGAGCAGTTTGCACCCTTGAGCTGTTGCAGCTCACTTGGCCAAAGGTGGAGGCAGAGACATTTGCCTAACTCACAGCTGGGAGACAGGCCCCCTTTGATGCCTCAGGGGACAAGCTTGGGCTCCTCTGGACATCACATTCTCACAACTTCTGCAGCATTGCAGTGGGACACAGACTGACCTGCTTTCACTTCATTGAGGACACAGAGGGGCAGGGCCAAGCCCCACAATCTCCAAAGAGGTTCTGAGCAAAATTCTGAGTTTTCAAAAACTTCTGTTTTGGGGTTTTATTGTCTGAATAATTTGGGGGCTATTTTAAGAAAAAGCTAGTTCATTGTTGTAGTAGGGGAAGTCAACTGAAAGCTTAATGATAACAATGGGCTTTTTAGAATTAAAATTACTTCCAGATGGATGTTCACACACGTCTTTACCCTTTAAAAACTACTTAAGTATGTTACCATCTGTCTTAGAGGGACTTTGAGTGGAAATCTTTACTCTTTTGTTTATATAGCTGTCGCCAAGTTTGTAACATAAGCTACCAAAGATTTTAAGACTATAATAGTAATGTCTTTCTGTTCTCTTCTGCTGTTACTGAATGAACATATTGCAAAATAGCAAAAGGGAGTGAATGGCTAGGCTTTTTCAGGGAAATGATAGTTTGACTTTAGACATGAATTTTTCCATGTTGAGGCATCTGGGTGGTGTTCTCTCTGTGGGAGAATTAATACTGATTGACTTCCAAGGCTTCTTTCGTAAGCAGAAAACATTACTGCACAGTAGGGATGAAAAAGCAAAGAGAAAGTGAAGGATGAATTTGATACAATATTCCTAAAAGAACTGGAAATTCCTTTGTGAACTAAATAAGCAATATTTATTTAAGCTTTGACATTTTTCCATGTCTCATTTTTTAAAAAGTAGAAATATTTAAGGAGACAATGTATTTTTTTAAAAAACTGAAGAACATATTTTGTGTCAATTTTTAAAACCAGAGTTAAGTTATTATTGCTACAGTAAAATTAGAAAATGTTGATAGAAGCCAAAATAGTTGCTCACCAGTAAAAGAAGACCCCTGATTAGATACATTTTGTTAAATTTTTGAGTTATAAAAAGGAAAAAAATCCTCTAGAAAGGAAAAAAATTAGTTTATTGCCAAGAGAACAGCAATCTGCATGACTTCCTTTATAAAATGAGATGCCAGAAGGCCATAAAGCAAAATTTTGAGAAAGATAATACAAAGGCTTAGAGAACAAAGTGCCATTTACCTTTCCTTAATAATTGACTTTACTGTGTGTTATCAACAGGGATAAATCTCTGGCTGTATACTTTTTCCATCCCATTTCCCCTCTGTCCAACCTAGAGATAAATACCATCCTTAATTTGTTGTTTATCATTACCATACATGTTAGTCTCTCTACATACAAATGTATAATATATAAGTTACTAGAGGCCTGGTGCATGAATTCGTGCACCAGTGGGGTCCCTCGGCCTCAAAGCCCCAAACCTCACCATGAACAGCTACAACAGCAGCACCAGCAGAAGCAGCAAGCGTTGGATCCTCGGTTCCCCACTCCGTGCTGGCCCGGGAGGGAGTCTGATGTCTCCTGGGCTGCAGACATCTGTCGCTTCTGCATCTCCCTCCGTTCTGAGCCCATCAGCTGCAACAATGAAAGGAAAATTGGTTTGGGTGGGCAGAGTGACCACAACTTAAACTTGGTGATTCAGTTGTTTCGATCATTGAGAAAATGCAATGTGACTATATCCAGGTCATTTCCACTAAATCTGGTAAAATATGGTGCTTAGAATTAATTTACCAAAGGTTCATTTAATGTCTAGCATCTGCCGTGCACTGTAATATATTTTAGGAATAAAATCATGGAGGGTCCGTCCCTGCACCAAGGCACCCACAGTTGAGTAAAGGAAACACTGGCATCACAGACATTGAAGACATGCAGTAAAGTGACAATAGGGTCATTTCCCAGCTCCAGAATTCCCTTTGGGTTGAACCGATGGGGAGCAGTTGAATTACAGTTGCCCATGAGGCCATAGCATGGATATGGGAAGAAGCCACACCCAAAATGTCAGGCACAGTAACACAGCATGCAGAGGAACCCTTAGGAGAGGAGCACGGCGGGGGTGGCTGCACTTAGTTATAAAATAAATAAAATAAGTCACAGAGATGTAAAGTACAGCCCAGGGAATATAATCAATAATCCTATATAATAAAAGGCTAATATGCAAATCGACCGAACGGCAGAACAACTGGTCACTATGACGCGCATTGACCACCAGGGGGGCAGATGCTCAATGCAGAAGCTGCCCCCTGGTGGTCAGTGCGCTCTCTCACAGGGGGAGCGCCGCTCAGCCAGAAGCCAGGCTCATGGCTGGTGAGC